GTTATTTTGGAGTTCCAGTTTTCTAAAACAAATATTTTGTTAATTTGTGTTTATTAAAATTCAATATTAAACTGTCAAACACCAAGTGGTCACCGGTGACCGCAACCTATTGTTCTATAATTGTGTCTACAAAACCGGTACTCGACGAGTTAATACTGTTAATAGGAGGCGATCTTATTCGATCATTCATCGAACACCACTGTAGACTTACATACATACATATAGATATCTTCACGCCTGTCTCCCATGGGGGTAGGCAGACACTATGGAACGCGAATTACTACGATTTCGACATACCTCTTTATGATTTGCACTGCAGACTTAGTGTTAAAAATTTCGAAAATATAAAACCCAATGATATTTTAACAAACTACACCTACCTTTTCTCCGTTCTCAACTGCAAAGCAAGCCAGTTCCTCTTGCGTTTTTTGACTAGAGCTTTATCAGAATGTAGCTTGCAGTGAGCGTAGAATGGATCAGCTTGTTCAGCCTCCTCCGAGTGAGCTTCAGCCAACAAGCCTGAACGTTGACCACTGTAATACCGCAAAACATTCGCCATTTACATTTATTTATTGAAATAGTGTAAATTTTCACATAGTTACAAAACTAATAAGTTTTCTCTAATATCAAAGTCAAAGCATTTATTTCCATAGAACCACATACATAGGCATTTTTTAAATGCTTAAATTGTCCATCAGTGCGTTGGTCAGTGAAGTGAGGTGCTTGTTCCTAAATGTAGTTTTAAGTATCACATGTTGTTGCAGATAGTCTTTAAAACCACTTTTGATGAGACCTGCCATGCCTTGTATCAATAGAGAAAGCAATATAATTACCAGGTGACATGGAAGAAAGTCTTGCAGAGTCCAGCGTCGCAGCCGACACATACTCCAGTACGGGCTAATGTCGCATCCTCACACAGGGCGCAAGAACGCGCCCCCCATCGGGAATATGCCATCTCGAATAACGTCACGCCGGATAGACGTTCCACCTAGACATAATTAAGAGAATAATATTTCACAGTCGACGCGGTGTCAGGGCAATCGACTGCCGCGCAACGTGTACCGGGTTTGATTCCCACAAGGAGGAAGTCTCTGTATGATCCACAAGTTGTTGCTTCGGGTCTGGGTGTCATGTGTATGTAAACTTGTATGTTTGTAAAAGCACCCACGACGCAGGAGAAAACCCTAGTGTGGAGCAATGTTTTTAAAAAATATAAAAAGTAAATAAATGTATATAAATTAAACTAAACAATTTAAAATTCATGGGGTGGGCCTAAATTTAGCAGTAGATATCTTGTTGCTGCGATGATGAAACCATATCAATATTATTTGACTGAACTAGAAATAGTGTGGATTATGAACTTTTCAAATATTTACCTCCGAAAAGGCGACTCCAGGTACGTAAAGCGCACATACTAAATGTACCCAAGCTCCAACTTCTGTCTCTTTAAAAATACCACCTGAAAATATAAGAAATCTTTAGTTGACACTTATGTTCACATAGGCAACCAACAAAAATTAACTTAACAATTGAAAATGGACACTCCCAATTGCATTACATTATATTACAGCATATTACACAGTCAAATCAATTGCTTAGTAAACAAATAGTGTTGGAAAGAACATTAACTTAAAAAATCTTACCCTTGTTTGGACAGAGCTCGCAGTTAGGGTCAGTTACTCCTGCTTTGCATGCCTCACAGAACCATGGTTCAGTAGAAGCTGAACTGACTGTACTGGACTCGCTGGTTGTGTCTGAGACTCCATAACAACCTGCAAATAAATATAATATTCCAATAGCTGCTATGTTTTTAACATGTTGGAAGTATTAACGCCAGCTATTTGATTTAATTAGTTTGGTAGAGTAACAGTACAGCATTATTTCTTTTTATATTTGAAGGGCCAACAATTGGCCTCTATCTCGCCTGGTAGTAAGCGATGGTGCAACCTATGGTGGAGCATGTCCACTCATAAGCAACATATTTACTCGGGCGTTATAAAAATTGTATAAAAATAGAGATATGTTCTGAATTATTTTCATTTTGATGGAATTACTACATATGTACCTAATGTTACTGAAGTAGCACATAATTAGCTGTTTAACTAAAAAGAAAAAATACTGGCACTAAACCAATTTCATTGTTTTATTTATCAGTAACAGGATTATTACAGGATTATTACAGGATAGCTACTGAAGAATGGTTTCTTTCAGTTCCATAATAAATGATGTAACTACCTAGATAAACATTACCTATTTATTTCCAAGTAGAACAAGTTATAAGCATGACCATTCATGCATTATAATTAACAATCATGAATAAATAAATAGTGAATACCTTCATGAACAGTTACGCCACATCCATCACATTCAACTATTTCATTGAAATCATCACTTCTGGACCCAAGACATCCCGCACATATTAACAAGTTTGCCAATTCAACTGGAAACTGAAAAACAAAAGAAAAATTATAAAAAACTTTGAAAATTAAATGAATGGATAGCCATAGACTCCACTTCTATTTGAGAAATAAAAAGGCTGAAAGTTATTTATATCCAACAGATATACAACTGAAAACAATTTTTTATTTATTTATCAGACTGTTTTGTTGCACTTTCAAAGCCATACAATTGTGTTATCTACTTTCATATTTTTATTGTTTTTGTGTAAGTAGCACAGTTACCTTAAATTCCTTTTTTGCTTTTTCCAGAACATCGTTCACAGGTTTGTCTTCTCCTATTTTGTTAGAACCTTTAAATTCATCATCATCAGATCCTGATTCCTCTGAGGATTCACTTTGTGCAGCTGCCTCTGAAATAATTCATAACAAATATCAATAAATAACAATATTCACAATATTAAAACCGTCATTTATTTAGCAAAAAGGCAGCAAGCAAGTGCTTAATCACATGAAAGCTGTAAAAACCCTTTTTTAAGTTCCCTAAGGATATGAAAAGCTATTGTTTGGAGTGTGGACTAAAGACTAATAGAGATAGATTAAGAATAAATACCATGATAATATGGAACACTATAGCACAGACATAGGGACAAAGATAGGGAAGTTGCAGTATATACTTTAATACTATATGATTAAATACCTACTATATAATAATGGAAAGGTGGAATTTATGTTTAGTAGTCACATACAGAGTCAGAAATACATACTTTTCTCTTCATCATCAGTGTTTATCGAGTAATCGTCACTTTCTTCTGGGTGATCCTCTATCCGAAAGTCTGAGTCATCGGAACTTTCACCTTCACCCAAATCAAAATCTAACAGAGATTGTGGCTCAACCGGCTTCACTTTGCGCTTAGCCGGGCCTCGGCTTTCTGAAAAAGAATCAATTCATTTTTACAACAAGTGGAAAAGCTTTGTCATTAATGTGTTGTATTAATATGAACCACGATAGGATTTATTAACTCCAAATACTTACGATTATTCATTTTTTATTAAAACTATAAAGATTGACACACATTTAGTTCAATAAAACCATTTTTTTCTCGAATTTAGAAACACAAAACATACAGATTCTCAACTCCATGAAATTAAAAATCAATGTTGCTATAATTAAAAAATTTAGCGAAAAATGTTGAAACTTTTTATACGAATAATAGAAAAAATAATTAACAACTTATCGACTCATGATGTACTTACTCATGATTTGCCACTATTAATTATTTTAAATATCAAATAAAACCTTCCACGCAAGCTTACAAGTAATCTCTTTCAGATTTCTGAAAGTAATGTTTGATTTAAACATGAAGGTTATTTTTTGATTAGATGATTTTTGTATAGATAGAAAAATTAAAGAACAGGGTTGCAATACTCTAAAATATGAAAACGTACGTATAACAAAAAAATAAAAAATAAAATCATCAAAAATCTTGAAACGACATACAATTATCCTTTTATTCTAAAATTATAATTATCTAGTAAATAATTTCCTTGGCCCTTATCTCTGTTTTTGTAAACGCGGTAAACTATAAAACTACTGGATGAATTTTTCAGCTTCGAGTTTTCAATAATAGATAAATAGTAACCTACATAGTAGTAATAGTAGTAGTAAACACTTAGGAAATGAAGAGGGGTTAGTTGTATAATTAAATTAAAATCTTTCTACCAACTAATTCTAAATAAAGTGCCGTATGATACTAATATATGGCAACAGTAGCTATGTATATTGTGTATCAAAATTAATAAAAATTGAGATGTCATACAAGTACAAGAAGAAAAGTAAGAAGTACTTGTAAATATCAAGTAATAAAATATTTTCACGTATAATTTTACTTTAGATATGTAAGTCCTTATATAATGTATAACATAACATCCTTTATCCACAAAGGGGTAGACTGTGCATACAACGGCACTTAATGCTAATGTGCAATGAAATACCCACTTTTCACAATTTATGTTATGAGTCCTATGTAATATGTATCCCGGTATATGGCAATGGGCCTATTGCCATATACAGAGCGAGCTGAAACTGAGATTTTTCTTAAAAACCCCGTAATACTTTGCCCATTCGGGAAATCAAACCCGAGACCCTTTGCCCAGCAGTCGCAATTCGACCACTCGACCAACGAGACAGTCACTTTTATTTTACAACGAGCTTTTACCCGCGGCTTCGCTCGCGTCAAAAAAGGATAAAAGTAGCCTATGTGACATATACCAATGCACACAGCGCCATCTATACCAATTCGTTTTTTTCCCTCGGGAATATCAATATTTTCCGGGATAAAAAGTACCCTATTATTTATTCCGGACTTCTAACTTTACGCCTGCAAAAATTCAAAGCAATCGGTTTAGAAGTTACGGCATGAATGTGGAACAAACAAACTCACTTTCACATTTATAATAGTAAGGAAGGATTGATTTAATACTCATAAGATAAGTTCAAGAGAAATCCTGCATAACAGTACAGTCACTGCTCAATAACAGGGAGTCAAACTTATTTGAAGTTCACACGTCAATGTCAAAAACTCTGTGAATCGAATCAAGTCAAAATGTTAAATTGTCAAATGTCAATTGTCATTTCAAACAAAAGCATTCGTACCGCAACAAAATATTGTTTTTTTAGTTTTACTGTGTGTGAAATTGGTGAGTAATCTTGAAGTTCATATTTTCTAATAAGATTAGAGTTTCACTTTAAAAACTTATTGAATGAATTTGATTTCAGCGTAAGCATATAGTTCAAAATGGTTGGTCTAGACACAGACCTCAACCGGGACGATGAATGCGACAACATTGGCTTAGGATGTGCTTTGGAGCACTTTTCAGAGATAGAAGATGTATTGAACATGATTGATAATGTTAAAAATATATATAATACATCAGCTTTGGAGGTAGAATATGATAGACTGTATGCAATCTTGAAGCAATACTATGAACAACCACATCTACTTGATCCCCATTTAGACAAGATGTTATCGAAGTTCCTGAGTCTAATTAAGGATAAAGACTCTCCGTTTGAGTTGAAGCACGCAACATTTAATTATATGTATCAAATCATCAGAGTAAGAGGATACAAGATTGTTATAAGACATCTTCCACATGAGGTAAGTTGTTATTCTAAACATCAGATTATGAAAATATACCAAAGTCTAAAGCAGTTACGAAATATAACTGTGGTAACAATTGAAACTTGATTACTCTTGCTGAAAAACTGTAAAGGACTACAAACATACCATGTGTTTCTCCAATAAGTGGCTGAATCATCACTATGGCAACATACAAAAATTACCAGGATACACAGTTAATATATATCCCAACCCCCAACCATTTATCCAAACATGTATAGGATAGCCTGACTGAAATGATAGTTAGTTGCTAATATAATGTAATAAGATAATACAGATATAGTCTATCTGTTTAGGTAATTAACTAAAGGTAAACAAACAAAACCACGTGACACAGAGATACTTAACCTTCTATTACTTCAAATATTTCTCGTGTTTTAATTTAAACTAAATTCACTTTAACATCGTTCATTTGTCACACACACACATACAAGCACAAATGCCTAAATCGTACAAGAGCCTAGCCTATGGGTCTATTTCATTATCATGTTTAAATAGAAACTATTCTGAATCTGATGTACGGATTTCTTTCTTGTACGGATTTCTTTCTTGTACGGATATGTGTCTTTGGGCCAAGTTTCTTCAATATATTTGAACACATTAATTACAAACGATGAATAACCTAAACTTAAATAACGTAATAACAAAAACAAAACAAAAACAAAATAAATTCAACAAAATAGGAACGCGAGCGCAAACGACGAGAAAGCTGTCAATGGCGCCTGATTAACCGACTAAACGTAATACACGCTACTTTGGACTCTTTAATTTGACAACATTATCTAATGCTTCGTTCATAAAGAAAAGTTTTGGATACCTGGGATTTTAGGCTCTTTATGGTGTCTATTGTAATGAAATATTATATTATTTAATAAAAAATGTTATTAAATTATTATGCTCAAGCAGATATATATAATATTTACTAAGAAATAAGTGAAAAGGAACAGAATCATAACATTTAATAGAGAAAACTGTCGTAAAAATGGAAACAATTTTATTTTCTTATGAATTATTTTGAGTCATGGAAATGTCAACTATAAAGAACTCTTTTTATGGTTTGTTTACAAATAGTTAACTACCTAAACAGACGGAGTATAAGTATTGCCTGTTTAGAAGGACCTTTTAGTATAATTTCCTGTTCAATAAAAAATGTAATTTCAGGTGTCAGATCTCCTAACAGTATTAACATTCCTGGAGGCTCAGGATCCTAAAGACAAGGAGACATGGAGGAGTAGATTTGTGTTGTTGTTGTGGCTCTCTATTGTTGTGATCATTCCTTTCCACATGAGTCGGCTTGATGGGTTTGCTCCTGGACAACCAGGTAATTTCCAGTGTTTTTAATATTAATTTTGTTTATCAAATAACAGTATAATTATGTTTGTGTCACAATTTAATATTGTGTTCTTATCACTACATCACTTTTCAATTATAGCCTGAATCTCTGACTACTCTCTCTTTCTCTCTACTGACTCTGTCTAAGTAAATGCTTTAATTTTTGGAGCCATTAATACAGTTTTTCCTAAAGTATGTTGTTATAATATACATGTTACAAATATGGCTTGGGTGCAAATGAATTTTTAGTGGACCTTGTCAGTAGAATAACATACTCCGGAGAACCTAATGAGTAACCGGGGCTCAGGCTCAACGGGCAGGAGAAGAAAGTGGGTGGTTTTTAGTCAGAAAGAATCTGACACTCCCTCCCGCCTCACCCAGGCGGGAGCAGCCATTCAATGATTTTCCCCCCTTAAAAAAAACAACTGTTATGTTTTTTTATTTTTTGTGATGATAATGATTTAATTTTTAAAATGGGTCCTACATTTGGTATCTTGATTAAAATAAGTTGTAGTCCAAACAACTTTGGGAATGATTGCTTTTCTGTAAGTTTTAAATGTTAGTTCTATCTAATTCCACAGATGTCGCCGAAGGATCAAAGAAGTTGACTGTGATGGAGAGAATTTTCAATATTTGTAAGACTTACGCTATGAGTAAGGACTCCTGTGCTGAAGCTAGTGCTTACTTAGCTTCCAAGTTTCTTATAAGGTAAACACTTTATTATACTTTATTTAATAATCGAAATGGTTTTTTTCTGATACTAATAAAATTCTGATAATGATAAAAAGTCAATGTTTATCATTATGAACAAAATTAGTTTTATTTTGTTTTTGTTTTCTTTTACTTTCATGTAGAACAAAAAATGTATGAGTGTATGCATGTATATATGTTTATATATATATTTTTTCCACCTCTAACAGATCTGATGTAAAAGAGCTATACATGGGTGCATTCTTCGACTGGGCCTGCGATCTACATTCCAATTTACAAGAAGAGGAAACCATTCACTATGGTGTGTTAGCCGCTGTTGCAGCTGTACTGAAACATGGCAAGAGAGATGATCTGCTACCATTGGCTCCAAAGCTCCTGACTTGGGTGACGAACCAGAACTATCAGCAACATAAAGCTATGCTCGTAAGGAAGTATGGTGTGAAGATTGTGCAGAGAATAGGTGAGTTTCTAACAGAACTGAAGTTAGCAGTTGTCAAAGTAGTAATTTCTTATGGATGGGAAAACGTATTGGCCATACAATAGGTGATACTTCAAACTTCATGTTATTACTGAAAATTTTAAAATAGAGAACATAACTTTGTCTGATCCAGGAATCACACTATAACCTCATTGCTCACAATCATGCTGGCTATTGATCAAACAATGAGTCATGATCATGAATCTATTTTGTTTAAAATCATTAAAATAAATTGATTAAAATCATATGTTACACGCTAAATTAAATCTTATATTATTGTTCCTAGGTCTGACATTCCTCCGTCCGCGGGTAGTATCGTGGCGTTACACGCGTGGTTCCCGTTCGTTGGCTGTAACGCTCGGCGGTGGAGTTGCGGCCGCTGGCGATACTGAACCTATCACTTCTCCACCTGATGACGATGACCAGGATATTCCTCAAGAGGTATAAATTTGACTTATTTAGTTAATGTTCTTTTTTACATTTTTTTTTTATTGTTGAAGTGATGTTTTGAACCTCTTCCTCCATAAATGGACTATCCAACACAAACATATTTGTCAAATAGAACCAGTAGTTCCAGAGATTAGCGCGTTCAAACAAACAAACCCTTCATATAATAGTGTATCTTCATATATTATATCTTCATATATTATGTTATATTATATCATTTCATTTAACATTTACCCACAGTTCGAAATATCACCAAACACTATTAATCTAACTGGACACATTTAGACATAAGATTTCAATATCACACATTGAAATACACATGTATACAAAGTACTATTTGTAGATGTTCGACTAGTTTCGATCCACACCGGGACCCTCATTCATCACCTTAAATAGCACCAAAATACTATCCAATTTGATACAGGTGGAAGACGTAGTAGAATTGCTACTGTGTTCCCTGCGCGATGATGACACAGTGGTGCGATGGTCGGCAGCTAAAGGCGTCGGTCGTATCGGCGCCCGTCTGCCCGCTCTCGCGGCCGCAGACGTTTGTGACAGTGTACTCTCGTTATTCGCCGAAAATGAACGAGAGACTGCCTGGCATGGAGGATGTATGGCGTTGGCTGAACTAGGTAATGTAGTAATAAGAAATGTAGTGTAAGAATTTGAAACTCCAAGTTGGTACTTTTTAAATTAGATACTTAGTTTATTTTTCATATTTTCTGAAAACTTTTACTACTACTTTGCCAATTTTCGGTCTTCCTTGGGCGTCGATTTTTGGGAGACCCTGTATGGCGTATATTTTTTTATCCACAGTTAAACATAGTTGGTAAACTGTGATTAACTGATAATGCTTGAAAAGCGTTAATCTTCTTGCTATTATAGAGAGTGGTTAGCGGAGATTATGTTAGACCTTTCTTTTGTAGAGGAAGTCTTTAGTTCATCAGTGGACGATCGGAGGCGGCTGATAATAACACGGTTTTACTTTTCAGCTCGTTGGCCGAGTGGTCGCAAGTGCGACTGCCGGACAAGGGTCTCGGGTTCGATTTCCGGGTCTGGTTTTTAAAAATATCAGTAGCAGCACGGAGTTTGGCAATAGGTTCACCCCCTATTACCTACATGGGACTCATAACATAAATAGTGAAAAGTGGGTGTTACATTGTACAGTGGCATGAAGTGCCGAAATGTGCACCTCTGCCTACCCCTTCGGGGATAAAAGGCGTGATGTTATGTGATGTTACTTTCCAGCTCGTCGCGGTCTCCTGTCCCCCGGCCAGGTGGGGCAGGGCGTGGGCAGCGTGGTGAGCGCGCTGCGACGCGACGAGGCGCGCGCGGCGGCGGGGGGCGGCGGGGGGGGCCGCGCGGCGCGGGACGCGGCCTGCCACGCCGCCTGGGCCTTCGCGCGGGCCTACGACGCCGCCGCACTCGCGCCATACGCAAAACCTCTCGCCTTCGCGCTTATTAGTACTGCTTGTTTTGATAGAGAGGTAAGTTCTAGTTTCTTTAACACTTTAATGGCAAATGTCTAGCACCGGTGACTAGTTGACTGGCGGTAGTGTTCTAAAAAGAATAATATTTTTCTAACATTGCGATTATGCGTTATCAGTGCATTTTCATTCATAATGGATATGGGCCAGTGGCGTGCAGTCCATATAGGCGAAAAGGCATTGCCTACCTATAAATATCGTGAATATATAACATACATATAATGTACAAACGCGTTTATTAAAATTCAATAATATAATAAAAGTTTGTAAAAAAACGGCTAACATAAATACGCGCCTTTGTAAAGTAATGAATGCGCCCCGCACGCACCACGCATGCGCCACTATTCCTTAAATCTTGGTTGGCAGTAGTGACGTCACAAAAGAAATGTACCAAAAGTATGCACCGCGCATGCGTGAAGTTCACGACCATAGTCACGGTACAGAATAACCATTCATAATTATATTACGCGATTCCTGTTGATTGACAAAATGTTTGCAACTAAAAAATTAGAGGACCGTTCGTTCATCACTTGGAAAACGATCGTATTTTATTAAGAATTCTAAATACAATAAAACAACAACAAGTTATTGTATTTTTAAAAACAATTAAATCATAAAAGGATTTAAATTGATAAAATTTGTATGTATATCGTAAAGTACTGATGAATGGAGTACACCAGCGCCATCTATTGAATTTTTTGTTGAAACTTCTGAACTCGTTCGATATAATGCGAATGTATTTTTATAAATGCGTATTTAACAAATATTTTTCAAGTGTTTTAATTAAAGTTTAACATTTTTACGCGTTGTCGGTTTATAGAAATTTTAAACGAGGAGTTGACTTTATTATTATAAAAGTTAAAAGGAAGTTATTGATACGTCAAGATGGCGCCATTTACAACGTTTCAAATTATATGAATGAATGTTTTTTAGTATGAAATATTGGTTTAAGACGATGATGCAATTTCATTTGACTTACTAAATTAACGTTTGTTTTTTTGAAATTAAACGCTGCGTTACCTTAATTTTTAAGCTACATTTTTTTTATAATAAACACTCAATTGACTATTGGTAATGACTTCAATTCATTTCCAATGTTTTCGGCCATATTGTTTTCATGTGATGTGCGATCGCTTTGTTTATGTTTTCGTTTAAATTATTAGGAATTAGTTTTAAACATAAAGTTGCATAAATGTGTAGTAGTAGTTAAATATATGTGTAGGTTTTTCAAATAGTGTATTTGTTTCTCAGTTTCTAGTACAAGTACCTATATTATTCGATTGTGAAGTGTGTGTGAATAATAGGTAATTTTATGTGTTTGTTGAAAGTAAAAACAGTAAGATTTCGCAATGTCCTTTATCGGACTAGATTCAGGTAATGACCATAGGCAGAGGTGTACTCGAGTTACGAGAATTGACCCAAGTAAAAGGTAGGTAATGTAAATATGTACTATAATGGATCTTTTATTTGATTTTCTTGTTTATTGTTTGATAATTCTTAAAAATATCAACTTAGACTTCGGGTTGTACTGATTCACATATTAATTTATTATTAATATTTATGTAATGTAGTAATAACAAATGTACCGCATAGACTCGGCCGGCTCGGCCACAGCCGGCCGCGCTTGTTATTGTTTTGTTTGTTGACATAATGTAGGTACCTACGCTCTTAAATTCGTAATATATTATGATTTTGACCAGATTGATTAACCTTAACAATTCCATAATGAAATTTGGTTCATCAAATTTATGCTTCATTATTAAAATAAATAATAGATCTTTCTTTATTTGTAAGTTTTGTTGGCTTATTCAATAGCTGATGAAGTACTTCACAAAAAATACGCGAGATGTCAGTGTATGTAATTTGGCGAAACAATACACCACAATATTCTTGAACGCACTTTTCAAAATATATTATGTATCTATCTTGTGTGAGCATGATTGTATGACCGGCGGGGGGGAGGGGTTTAATCATACGATATTTAGTTGCCTACCCTGTCTCGAAAACCTGTGCACGCCACTGAATGGGCCTCGTCGGGTATGCCAATAAGCTATTCAGCTTTTTATAATTAACTTCTGCCATGACTTTGTAAACACCATCAGCCATCACTTAACTGAAATCCGATCTACACTATGTTTAATAATGTTGAAGTAACGATACCCAAGCAATAATTAAAGTCAAGCAATCATAAGGTAAACAACAACCACCTAATTGACTGCACAGTTAGCACGGTGGCTGGGGAACTGGCTGCCGAGCAACGTGCCGCGGCTTCGATTCCTGCACGGAACAACTCTTTTTGTGATCCACAGATTGTTGTTCCGGATCTAGGTGTGACGTGTATGTGAACTTGTATGTTTATAATCGCACCCACGACACAGGAGAAAATCGTAGTGTGGGACAATGTATTCTATAAAAAAAAGGATTATGGTGGCTTCTGGACGCAGGTCGCTTCCAACTGGCTTATCCTATTAATTTTAGGCAACAATAAATATCTAAAACAACACTTTCTTTACATAAACACTCATTATTCACAGATCAACTGTCGTCGCGCTGCCTCAGCCGCTTACCAAGAGAACGTAGGTCGTCACGGCATGTTCCCACACGGCATCAACGTCCTCACTACGGCGGACTTCCAATCTGTAGGTCCACGGAACAATGCCTACCTAGTCATTGCCCCACAAGTGGCCTCATACCCCGAGTACACTCAGCCACTCATAGACCATCTCGTTGAACTGAAGGTTGAACATTGGGACTGTGCTATAAGAGAAATTGCCGCCAAAGCACTTAATAAGTTGACTGATAAGGTTAGTATATTGTTTAAAATTAAAGGAAAGAGCGTATTCCTTTTTAAAAGGCCGTCAACGTACCTGTGACTCTTCTGGTGTGACTCCACGGGCGGCCCTGATCGCTTACCATCAGGTGATCCGATGGCTCGTTTGCCTCCTATCCCATAAAAAATGAAATAGAAGTTGCAATTAAATCTTTTCAAAGATTGAAATAATAATTTATTTTCATGGGATTATGTGAAAATACATACTTATAATATATACAATTAATATTAACTATAACTAAATGAAAATATATACAACTTAAAATATAAATAACTATGAACTAAAATATTTACACCTTAAAAAAAGGTAATAATAAATAAATAAGCTATAATAAGGCATCAAAAAAAAAAAATTTTCCTCATCATTATCGTGAGGTAGGGTGCCCAAAAGACTGGCAATCTTTTCAAATGTATTTGTTAATCATAAGTACAGGTTTTCAACAAGAGTACTATAGGAAGATTTGCGCTATTATTGATTCGGAAATGTTCAAGTTGAAATGAAAAAGTTTTTGCATAAAGTTTTGTAATTAAGAAGGGACTGGCCATCTATAATATTCTGATTCGGCTAGAAAAAAAATCTGAACTTTTGAAAATTTCAATTTGGACAATTTGACAATTGTCATTGACATGTCATAATTTTTATTTCGTGCTACTTAGGTTAAGTAGGTTTAGTTATTTTATTTTATTTTTTGTATATTTTATTTTGATGTTGAGTGTGTATTATTCAATCATTTTTGACAAACCATTCACCGTATTTTGAACGTTTGGGAAATACAAGATGCGAGACCTTGTAAGATTGTCTACGACCTTCCTTTTAAGACCGTCGCGTTGATTTGGGGAGAACATGGCTTATTCTCTTATTAAATTTCAGATACCGGATTACGTAGCAACGGTTGTACTACCGAAATTGGTGAAAAAGACTGAGTCCATTGACCTGAATGTTAGGCATGGAGCCATCTTAGCTATCGGGGAAGCTATTTATGCTCTCTCTCAAGCTGAGCTACCGAATGGTAAGGTTACTTTGAATTTTACAATATATCACATAATATTTTCAGTTTTCGAACTATCTACATTCTTATAATAACTATCGTGAGATACTAAATTAACTAAAAATCGCGGGTTACTCACGTGAATATACCGAGAAAAGCTCTACTAGTTTTGAACCACAGAGGGGTTCTTCCTCATGAGCAGCGAGTGCGGTCGCTGCGATGTCGCGCAGGCTATTGACGTATTTTCAGTAACCCTTATATTTTTTGTTAAAAGTATATGTTCTTGTCTTATTTTTTTTAAAATATTTTTAGTGACAAAGCAATCTAACATTAAAATATCCTTTTTATTCTTAGAATAAATCAAGAGCGAGTCATAATTTATTATTTACACAGAAAGTTTATTCTATAATTTTCCATCGTCAGGTAAGACCGCAGATTCCCTTGTGTCGGAAGACGTGTGTGTGTCAGTCCGCGGGCTGGTGGGCGCGCTGCGGTGGCGGCTCCAGTTCCGCGGGCTGGGCGGGGAACTCATGCGCCAGGCCTGCTGCCACTGCATCGCCGCGCTGGCGCTCGCTGACCAACCGTACCACGGACATGATATTATTGGTAACGTATTGTTTGTTTATACCTACTAAAGACAATGATTTCTTCCTTATGTATGATAAAATATGACTGCCAAAAACATGGAAATTACAAAATAACTGACGTAAAAGGAGTGTAATATGTGATAGTAGGTACCTCTGTGTACATTATTAGCACAATGTCCTTTTTTGACCGATATTCGAATGAAACTCAGTACAGTTTTCAGAGTTCACAGCGAAACAATTTTATTTCAGTCAAATGAAGCACCCTAATATTTTGCCGGTAACGAAACCATAGATTGAATTTAAATCGGCCAACGCCGTCTATTCAGCTGTGGGACAACGCAAAAATAATTAATTATAATAATAGTATGGCGTTGGTGTAATGCATTTATTTTATAAAGATTATTTCCACATTTTACACTGCCTATCTTTTAAAATGTATGCTTACAGTATTCATTGTTGATGAATAAACTGTAAAGGTATAATAAGTCTAATAATAAGTCATTTTGTTCGATAAAATTTCGACGAATTTTGGTACGAAAATTAATTATTTACAGCAGATAAAATAAACGATGAATGATGAAAGCGTATCACAAGGAAGTGTGTTTGAAATATTATTGTGTATATTATTTTTACAGATGAATGGCTGAATCTCATCGAAGAATGTCTATCCCACGAAGTACAAGCCATCAGAGAGAAGGCTATCTACGCGTTACCTCTAGTTTTCGAACATTACCTGCGTGATGATAACTTGAAGTACGGTGAGCTCACTGCTAAAGAGAAACGCAAGCAACTCATGGAGAAATATTGTGAACAGCTCAGCAATACCGGTGTCAATGGATTAGTGCTGAGGATGGGATATGCTAGGGCTGTTGGTGAGTATTGGATGATTATAGTTCACAATTAGAGTTAACTTTTCTATGCCCAAGTGGCCACCGGTGACCACTTATGGATAGACTCCATTATAGACCTAATTTCCAATGTTTAGAGACTTCTTTGGTATGAACAAATTTTCGGTACGATATATCAACATATTAAATGTAGTTTCTTACCGGACTGTCGGAAGGGTTGTTTTCAGTATTTTATTTATCAAAATTGCATATTTGAAATAATTATTCTGAATTTTTCTTGATACTTCGCTAAATTGATATTATGAAAGACTTGGGTCGATCGTTTAACCCTTTTGTAGAGACCTAAGGCCAATAACTGTCGGTAGATTGGGTGGCTAAATGGGGCATTTTGACAGATTTTACATAGCACACAGATGCGTTGATACTTTTTTGTTGACGGATCACCTGATGGAAACGAATAGGCGCCGTCAATGGACACCCGGAACACCATATGTGTTACAAGTGTGTTACCGGCTTTTTGGGGTAACTTATTTGAGGATTAATGGGAATTTAGTAATTGGGGAGGGGGGGGGGGATTGGGCCTCCGTACGTATACATACTGTAAGCAGGTTGAAAGAGACTGCTTTCTAAAAAATACAAATTTTCTTAAGCTAATTTTATTTCTTTCTTTTAGGTTCCCTGCCAAAATTCGTGCTAACGGAACATCTATCAATGGTGATCCAAGCTCTGATCAACTGCACTAAAGTAACAGAAGGGACACAGAAGTGGGCCGAGGCCAGACGTGACGCAGTAGTGGGACTCACTGAAGTATGTCAGACACAGGGCATACTGGGGGGAGTGCGGGACTATGTGGAGGGGATTATACACGCGTTACTTGACTGTTTGGCTGAATATACTATCGACATGAGGGGGGATATCGGCGCTTGGGTGCGAGAGGCTAGTATGACTGGTAAGCGGTTTTACGACATCTAAGTTGGTTTGGTCTATATTGAGGTAAAAAGGAATTTGGTATGTTAAATATCAAATCAGATTTTCAATTCTACCGTTATGGAGTAAACTGTATGACTATACATACACTTCATCTAAAAGTACAGAAGAAATATATATTGCAAAGATATATACTCGACTAGTTTCGAGCACGACTGGGGCTTATAATCACAAATGCCGCATAAAAATTAATGTCTCACGATGCTTATTATACAAAAACATGATATATTTAAATCTATTATAAAGCGACTGCCTCGTTGTCCGAGTGGTCGCAAGTGCGACTGCTGGGCAAGGGGTCTCGGGGTCGATTCCCGGATCGGGCAAAGTATTACTGGGTTTTTATCTTAGTAGTAGCACGGAGTCTGGAAATGTAATATATGGCAATAAGCTCACCCCCTATTACATGGGACTCATAACATAAATAGTGAAAAGTGGGTGTTACATTGTACAGTGGCATTAAGTGCCGTAATGTGCACCTCTGCCTACCCCTTCAAGGATAAAAAGGCGTGATGTTATGTTATGTTAAATCTATTATATCCCTTTAGGTTTGCTATCCATCAGCCGACAGTGCGCAATAGAAGCCCCGGAACTGAACAGTCCGGCGGTAGTGTCTGCGGTCATGTGTGGAGTGGCCCAGCAAGCCGTGGAGAAGATTGATCGGACTCGAGCACACGCTGGGAGGATCTTTACATCACTTATATACAAGTAAGAAATAAAAGGCGTTGCATTCACTTAAATGTTATGATCCGGTTAAATCTTAAGGCAAATGTTGATTATATTGCGTTACCAACATAAAATAATTAACATTTGACATCAAATTGCCTTAAAAATAGGTTATACCCAAAGTATGTTACCATGGACCGTATAGGTTGTTTTGCACATTTGTCAAAGACTGTCTTCTTTTATTAAATAAAAAAAAAACGTTGCCCCACACTAGGATTTTCTCCTGTGTCGTGGGTGCGTTTACAAACATACAAGTTCACATGACACCCAGACCCGAAACAACAATTTGTGAATCACATAAAGTATTGCTCCGTGCGGAAATCGAACCCGCGACACGCTGCACGACAGCCAGTTGCCCAGCTACCGCACCAACCGTGCAGTCATTGAGTGTCGAAGACTGCTTTGTCAGCTGTCACGTTTTGCATTAATAACTATCAGGGGAAATAAACAACTTTAAATATGTCATAACATAAATTAAGTCTGCCTCATTGGCCAAGTGCTCGCAAATGCAACTGCCGGGCAAGGGGTCTCGGTTCGATTCCCGGGTCGGGCAAAGTATTACTGGGTTTGTAAAAACCTCAGTAGTAACACGGAGTCTGGAAATGTGCCCGGTATATGCCAATAGGCTCACCCCCTATTTCATGGTACTCATAACATAAACAGTGAAAGTGGGTGTTACATTGTACCATTTTACAGTAGCATTAAGTGCCGTAACGTGCACCTCTGCCTACATCTTTGGGGATAAAAGGCGTGATGTTATGTTAATGTTAATAAAATAAGGTTTCTTTCAATTCTGTATATTCCATACACATTACTTACAAAAATATCCTTTTTCAGTGACCCACCGATCACGAACATACCTCACCATGATGCCTTGAAACGCATATTTCCATGTGAAGAAGTGGAACTGAAGCCTCCAGCGAAGGAAATAGAGGAAGATCAAACAATGACCAGTGAGAACACTAACGTAGTACTGTGGCTCTTCCCCGGACATACTATGCCCAGATTCGTACAACTGTTGAATTATCCGGACTATCGGTATAATGTTATCAAGGGACTGGTTGTCAGCGGTGGCGAGTTGACTGAGAGCTTGGTATGTAGTTTTGTTCGTTATTTGAATAGTTTTTTTTTTAAATAGTAAATGTGGTAAAATTATATCAAGTTACGCACTTTATACTGCGGGTGACATCATGTTTTTAATAAGTTTATTTAATATTAAGCCTCCATATTATATTTTACAATACTTATAATATATGTTGTACGACTTACGTAAAGATCGGCCTCGGGCCTATTAAATATAAAATCCTACTATTTACACGTGCTGTAAAATAGCATACGAAAACGCGTTCTATTGATCTTGTTTAAAAATGTTCAAAAATCGAATGTCTGTCTATTTGGAAATATGCCCAAAATAAGCATACTAATTTTAAGCAACATGCCGAAAATCATGACTAAGTGACAAGTGCTCGATTGAAGCATTCTCTCTTGCTTGAAATTAGCATGTATAACGGTAGATACCTTAACTGCTCCGACTCGACTAGTTTCAAACTATCCTGGGACCCATAGTTATGACCCATTTTCGCGACCGACCTATAACTTTCCGATATTGTTCTCAGGTAAAACACACAACTCAGTCTCTCTACGCTTACCTCATCACATTACATGATAACAAAGAAATGTTGAAGTCAATATGCGACACCATCATCAAAGTATTTGCTGACAATCTCCATGTCAAGAGGATAACTGGACCTATGTTCAATTTCTTGGATCGATTGTTGAGTTCAGGTGAGAATTTTAGCACATTTTTGAAAGTCATCGAGGTGTTTTTGTAGGTATAAATGGTATTGGAAAAGAAGATATATGGTTACGAAAGAAATACTGTTAAACTCATTTAGCAAATAACTGAAATTATTAACATACATACATAACTTCACGCCTATCTCCCTTGGGGGTAGGTAGAGACTTTAGAACGCCAATTGCTACGATTCTTACATACCCCTATTGCTTCATCAACATTCAACAGTCATAAATCTTTTCATCCATGGTTGTCGGTTATTAATTAATACTGAATTTTAAAGTGAAATCTGCGTCGATTAATATTCACGGATACACTTACGTACAATTTAATTTATTTTTATTTCTTAATAATATTTTCTATATTTGAAAATGTTGACTATTGTGTAGTTTGTTATTTTCTCTTTATATAAGGTTACTTTTAACGGTTGACAATAATTCCATTTTCTAATCACCTAAATTAAAATAAGATTCTAGAATGTACTCTAAAGTTTCTAACTTAAAAGTAAACTAACATTTAACATTTTATAGGTTCTATATCACCAATACTAGAGGACCCTGAGTCGACGTTCGCTATGGACATACTGAAGCATTTGCAACTGGAACTTCGAGGAGGAAAGAACATCTACAAGCTGTTAGATTCTATCAATGTTTTATGTCAGCTTATTCAGGTTAGTCAACATCGAATACAATATTTTGTGTCTCTTTTTTGGGACATTCAATAGTATATAAATTATTATGTTTTCGGCTTACTCACGTAATTATTTGACGAGGAACTCGACTAGTTTCAAGCCGTGCTAGAGGCTCATATTCATGAGCAGCATTTCGCGACCCGCGACGTGGCGACTGTCGCGCTGCACTGCATTGTAGTAGCAGCGCGACAGTCTAGAAACTAGTCGAAGTCCTCGCCAAATTACTACGTGATTAAGCCGAAAACATAATAATTTATTCAGTATGTCTCACGAAAGTTATAATAATACAAACATTCAATAGTATGTTGGTTGCTGTTAATGCTGGCGTCATCAGCAAGACTGGTGGCGTATACTTATCGTTTACGCCCTATATTGTTATAGCAAATATACTGCGGTTTTTATCCTGCAGTCTAAACCCAATTCAAGCAGAGTTCAGTACTAAGTAAAGCAAAATTTTACACTTTTCGGCACCAACTTGAAGCGTACGTACACGCTACAGCACATACTTGTACTGCTTTACACATATTTTCTTAACTGCGCCTGTACAAATGTCCATTATTTTTTTTCTCTTATTTAGGTGGGTGGAGTAGTTTGCAGTAGATCGCTAGGCCAGCTAGTGATATACCTGTGCTACGCGGACCGCTACGTGCGTCGTTGCGCCGCGGCCAGGCTGTACGAGGCACTCACTCTCTACGGAGACGTCTGCTCCGTGCCACAGGATAATATCGACCAGGTATTTCATCACTACGTAGTATAAAACTAAGTCGCTATCCGCCGTCTGTCTATCCCTATGTAGACTTAGATCTTTAAAACTACGCAACGGATTTTTTGGGTCGGTTTTATTTATAGGTGGAGTGATTCTTAAGGAAATTGATTATAGAGGTATAATACATGCATATTGCACCCGTGCGAAGCCGGGGTGGGTTGCTAGTATATGATAACAGGATTTTACTACCTTCTTACCTGCCAGTTACCTGGGTAAACGTAAAAGGAGCCTATGTGTTATTCCAGGTTATAGTCTGCCTAGTTTCATCAAAATCCATTCAGTACTTTTTGCTTGAAAGAGCAACAAACAAGGTTTTGCGTTTATAATATTAGTAGGTTTCATAGGACTGCCCCATCACCTGATGGTAAGGCGTCGCCCATGGACACCCGGAACACCAGGGGCGCTACAAGTGCGTTACCGGCCTTTTAGGGATTATGAATTTGAGGAGGGTTGGGGATTTACGGATAGGGGACATTGAGAAAGTGGACGGGGGGGTAATTGGACCTCCAGTAACCTGACTCACTCGACGAAACACTACGCAAGCGTTGTTTCAAGTTGGTTTTCTGTGAGGCCGTGGTATCACCCCGTTCGAGCACGTTAAGTAAGTTATTTTATCTGTGTGTAACGAACGACACACGTAGAAAAATACTTCGACGATGCTACCAATAGATGGCGCCATGTTTGTTAAATCCCGAAAGTTAGCGCGCAATTTAGTATTCAATTTTTCCGAGCTTACTCCAGATTTATAGTAACAAAATAAACAATAACTTCCTGAAATCAAAACTAAAGCGTCCGATTTGGGTAATGTTTCTCTATAATAGTAAAATATTCAAGAAACCTCTTATTTACACCTCGATAGTTTATTCCGGATAATTTTGACATTAAACCTAATTATACGAGTCCTTATATAAGTTAACAATAAATTAGCATTAAAATCTTTATAGTAATCTTACAATGACGCACTTCACACTGAAATATTTTTGTTAGTGTCAGTATTAACGTTTAGTGAATTAATCATTTAATTTATATAATAGATTCTAATCTTTATTGACGTCATGTATTAAAACTAAATTATTTGTAGTAGTACCATGAAAAACAAAACTAATAAGTACTTTAAAAATGAGTTAGTAACTAATTTAAATCTTTATTTAAACTTAAGAGTCAATCGGTATTAATCACTATAAGCTGAAGAATGTTTAAAGGATATTTTAATTAAATTTCATTTTTAACCGATTAGAGTTAGAGAAGGTAGAGATTCGCGCTTATCGTGTCGGTTATCGTTATATATTGAAAGATATGAGTCTTTCTATAAAATACTTTTGTAAGTCGAGTCCCATGTAATAGAAGGTGAGCCTATTGCCATAAACAATTCCAGTATCAAACAGTAATACTTTGCCCAGGTAAAAGTACCCGAGACCCCTTGAGCGGCAGTCGTACTTGAAACCACTCGGCCAACGAGGCAGTCTCAAGGCATCTTATATAGTTATTTCGCTAATCATAGCACGTTTCTTTACACGTGCCAGCTTTCGGTCTCAAACGTAAACAGATAGAGTGTGCCATCCGGATAAAAACTACATGATACTATGAGTAGCCAAAATATCTTTGGTGGTCAGAAGCCAAAAGGTTATTTAAAAAATTACACATTGTTTTTGTGCCATTTCTTTTACGTAATCAGTATGTGAATTGCGTATATTATAACTTGTATTTGTTACGCGTTATAATTTCTGATGATAGTATTTTATTGTGAACTAGCATTTTTTTTTTGTATATTTGATGGGACGACGTTTGACCACTGTCTCGCCTAATGGTAAGCTATGATGCGGTCTACAACTAAGCACGTCATCCCATAAGCAACCTATTCACTTGGGCCTTGAGGACACCCTGGGCCTATAGCCAAACGCCACTTTAGCGCTTGTTTACAGTGAGAGCAGAAATGAAAATGTATGGGGATGACACTGACAAGTGTCAAAATTTACGTCAATTCCATATAATTTGGTTTTCTATTCTACAAGTAGACAAGCGCTAAATGGCATTTGGCTACAGCTGCTGGTTATACCCTTCTAGGTAGCCCCATCCTGGTTTCGCGCGAATTTGTTCCCCCTTTTCCTAGGAAATAGTACTGTATACATTGAGCGTGGATGCCACAAGCAGGTTTATATGAATGTGACTATGTGTATCAGACTGTGATATTCCATTACTATTTGTTATTACCGACAATTTTTATGTTTTTCTTTCATGAAATCGTCCCATGCGAATATTACACACTCAAACAGGGGCGAATAAAATCTAGAGAGCGCCCTTGGCAACCAATAATTTATTTTTGGTGCCGCTGCCACTCTTTGATCAATTGGAAATTTTGGCGTCTCGTGGCGCCCTCTGGAACCTTTTTTATACTTGATAGGTTGACGTTTGTCCACTATCCTGGTGCTATGACGATGATGTGGCCGACGATGGAGCACGCCCACCTATAAGCAACCTGTTCGTTCGCGACTTGAAGACACCCAAGTTATATTTGTCGTGAAACACAGATTTTAGCAAGAAATTCCATTCCAGGCGCCCTAGGCACCTGTTTAGTTTGGCTTAGGGCTATATAATCTAGAGGTATATTCGCGCCCTGACCGTGACCAATGAAAATAGGGATTAGTTTATTATTTTTATGTCATCGCAATGACACAAACGTCGACGACAATACACAAAATTTTGATAGTGCACGAATATAATTATGTACAAATTGATTAAAAAACCGCTTTCAGTCAACGACTTATAGTTCGATGCACTTGTACGAAGATTTATCAGCAATTAGTTCCACTTACTCCAAGAGAATTATACTTACACATTAACAATGAGATCTGTTTGAATTCTCTTTTTGATTTTAGTTTTTTTTTTTTAATATTCAAAAGGAAATAAATTAAGCTCTCTTTTTTATATTTCTTTTCCTTATGTGCTAGGTAGGCCAGTAACTATCTCAACATGTATTAGGCGTGGATATTTGAGTTGTTTAATACTTAATTATATGTTCATTTTGATTGATTTAAAAAATATGGCTTACTCATTATAATTTCACACTTCATATTTCCTTACTTCATTCCGACGGACCCATAGTAACTTCCTAATATTATAAAAAGACAATAGTTCGACGGGTCGAGTAACCACAGCAAATGAAAGGTACTTACTTAACACAGCTGCTGCCACTTAAACAACCGATGCTTTTATGCAGGCTGCAGTGTCTTTCTTGACAAAATAGTTAGTTGAAATTCTTATTGTCTATCTCGTTCGAGCGGTCGTAAGCGTAAATATTGTCGCGGAGAACCTAATGGGTTACCGGGGCTCCGGCTCGACGTGCAGGAGAAGGAACGGGGTGGTTTTTAGTCAGTAAGAGTCTGACAGTCCCTTCCGTCTCACCCAGGCGGGAGCAGTCATTCGATGATTTACCCCCTTAAAAAAAAGCGTAAATATTAAGGGTTTCTGATTCGATTCCTTAAAGGTGGGGCAAAGTATTATTAAGTTTTTATAGTTTACGTAACGTGGAGTCTGGAATGGTGCCCGATAAATGGCTCTCATAATATAATTGGTGAAAAATGTGTTACATTTTATGCACTTCTAAATGATTTTCAATGAAGAAAATGCTTGATACTATATTGTATGTTTCTTTGTGCACCTGTATCTAGTCATTACTAACGCAACTTCCTCTTCCACAGATAATGTCAGTGCTCGCAGAAACGGACTGGGAGAGAGAGGTATCAGAACTTAGACCTATAAGGAACGAGCTGTGTGACCTCATGGATATTAAAAGACCAGTCATGAAACAAAAAACGGCAGCGTAAGATTGTAACGATGGTTTTTATTTTGTAGCACATACTAACGCTTTGTATAGCTTTATTGTATGAAGGATTGCATTAAAGACCGGATTGAACGAGTTTGTCCAATATTATAAAGCAACTTCCCCCAGGAATCCATGGGTTTAGGCATCGGACTTGTACTATTGTGTTGCGAGTGCTAATTAAAATTTTGTAGGTTATGTTTGAGAAAGAATCTAATGTAAACTTGTTTTTAACAAAATAAAATAATAATAGTAATTTTATGCAAAATTATTATGTTTCTTATGTTCATAAAATGTGTTTGAATTGTTAAAGTATGTAAACACATTGTCTACAAATACTTTTTTGAGACTGAGATTTCATAGTAACGTTATATAAACAAACATGAATAATGTTTTTTTTTTCTTTATCAATGACCAGTCTGCACTTTTAATAAATTCACGTATTCTTGAATTTCTAGTGCAATGACATTGAAATTCGGACGTCCTTTATTATGATAATTCTATTTAATAAGCAGTATATATAATACATTATTATTCACTTTTGTCATAAATAACGAACAATCTGGTCTTTAATGATTACATTGATGATTGCAAGTAACTCAATACTGCATCATTCAGTTCTTTCCCGCTGAAGAAATATCGTTATATTAACTTGCTAATGTGATAATACGTGCTATGAACTTGTGTTAAAGTATGTTTTCATTGAGCAAATGTGTGATTCAAGATGACTTGTGGAAATGCACATTGAATGTGAGTCACTGTTCTGATAGAGAACTCTAGAGCAGACCTCTGTTTCTTGAATATCTGCTGAGTAATAACTGAGAATGGTTTTTAATATACAGTGCCTTTAGCCAAACGCCACTTTAGCGCTTGTCTACAGAGAGAGTAGAAATCAAAATGTATGGAGATGACACTGGCAAGTGTCAAAATTTACGTCAATTCCATATAATTTGGTTTTCTATTCTACAAGTAGACAAGCGCTAAATGACATTTGGCTACAGCTGCTGTTGTATTTATAAAAACAAAAGTGTTATTTAGTAGAACTAAAGATGATATTTGACATCGTAACAGGAATATTAATTAGGTCTCAAAACAGTTACTCAGCTATAACACGTCTTGAAATAAACATCCTCTCAGTGAAAACGTACCTTAACAGAAATATGAGATTCATATTATTTTTTTATACATATAGAGCTTATCAGTAACGACATTTGACACTGTAATAATATTTTAACACGATGTCAGATAATGATATGTACACGTTTTGCTAATTTGTGATAAATAGATTCTCGGCAAATTGGTGGATCTTGATATGAAATGAATGTGCATTTATGTTACTCAATACAATTCTAATATACTTATCTATTTATTTATGTTTAGTTTTATTTACATTTTAGTAAACCTAATTGTCATATACTCAAACGCTATTCAATTATAAAACGCTGTCAAGAATAGTTCTGGCCCTACAAATTCTTTATAAAATGGCAGAGATAGAACGATGTTTAAGTGCAATTTAAAATAGAATAGCGTTTCAGTATTCAGTAAATACAACGTTTAAAGCAACCACTTTTGAAAGCAATTTCGACATTGTCACCAAAAGCATAGAGTTGACATTCCTTTCACCCAAGTATCTGGAGTTGTGATGGGTCTTGTGGTGCTTCAGCGATGAGGTCGGACCAGAAAGTACCGTAGTTCTTCAGTACAGTTCCGCTGTAAACAGAAACATGTTATTTAGACATGACACGAGGAAGACAGTCATATAATATGTTTACAGAAACTGTCTATTAGATGAGGCAATAAGAGTGATTATTTATTAATTAAATTAATAAATACGGTAGCGAGTATTAGGCTGGTACTATAGAACCATACTCTAGTGGAGATTTGTGCTCAAGCATAGTTAGAAAGGGATGCATTACATGCTTGTATCTCTTGAATCTATTTGCATCCCTTTTTTAATGTAGTTGAGATCTCCGCTTGAGTATCGTTCTATGTATAGTACTGGTCTTAGGTCTACTATCCTCGACGCGTCATTTGACGAATGCATGCAACCTACAAATGACAGTAGGTGGCCTACGAATGATAAATGCTCGTATCTTGGTTAGACACAATGAAAACTGTTCCCGAAGCAGCAATTGTATGCGTCCCATCTTCGGCGGCGACGTATATGTAAGTTGCATGCATTCGTCAAATGACGAGTCGTGTACAGGATGCCTTAGAGTCGGCTAGTGACACGCGTGCAGGTCATGATGCGATGTGAGATTATGAATTGCCTGCGGTAGTAATGTTCAGTATATCGATTGCAGATTCTATGTATGGCTTCACGTGGTAATGTTGTTTTTCTTAATGAGTGCCTTTTTACTCACTAGGTGGCGCAAATGTAGCATTAGATCTAATTATTCAATCACTAATACTGTAGTTGTCAAAATTCAAATGGCTAATGGTTTGACATTAGCCAATAGGGTAGTTTCCTAAATTTTATTTTAATGTCCGTCTGGTACATTAATTTAAAAATTTAGACACGTATTTTTTCTTTTCTCAAAAAATACTTCGACGATATATTAATTTGAAATATCGTGTGACATCACAGCGTGCCACATTTTGTAGCACGTTATGACGTAACGACCTCCCACTCTTGAACTTAGGGCCATTTTATCTAAGTATTGCAACTTAACTCGTTGAGTACCGGTTTTGTAGACACAATTATAGAACAATAGGTTGCGGTCACCGGTGACCGCTTGGTGTTTGACAGTTTAATACGAGAAAACAAAAAAATACATGTCTATTAGGTACTTTTCATTATTTAACTGACGGACTAATTCGTTTTTTTATTTTGATACCCTGAAAACTGCCCAATTGTCTATTGGGCAGACAGACATTATATTAACGTCACCTGGTGTGTATAAAAATTTTAGCCCTCAGTGATTAAGATGAGCCTTGTTGAGGGTAGAAATGTATAAAAATATAACATCCATCACTGGCCTTGATTACTTTCATCATGTAGCTCAGAATCTAAAGAAATTTCATATATTTCTATATCGATATACCTATACTTATACGATATATACGGTATAAAATACCGATATAGAAGTAAAATATCAGTCAAGACAAACAGACAAAATGCGTAAATTGTACATTATTTCGATTTTAATTGGGAAAAATAGGTGTCTTAAGTTTTTTATACATTGTTTACGAACAGTTAGCACAGTTTATCGAGAAGTCGTCTGCCACGCGGCTATCTACATTCGTGTAACACATAATAGAATGACACATCAATTCTTTTTACTGAAATTTACACAAACATTTGACCTATTACACCATTAACACACTCGTAGAATCTAGTTTTTTAACAATCATCTCCGGGTTATCAATTGTGCTAAAACCTTGCGAAACATGGCACATCAAGATACTCGCAAACTGTCAAATTAGTTTAAATTTTCAACCCATTTAGTATTAAAGTTGAAAATCAGTCGAATAATTTTGCCAGTTTATGATAGTTTGCAATGCTGGCGTCTGTGCGTCTCAATATCTCCAACTTGCTGATTAATGTACAATAATGTAATCGAAACATTACTCAAAATCGAAACATTACTGAAAATGGCTATCAGCAACAGGGACATGGCGGTAGTGGGCGCTCTTTTGGGTGGGGAGGGCTCGCTGTAAGCTTAAATTGTGATGCAAGCGTGACATTAATACACCTCTATATTTGTGTGTGTTTAATAATGTTAAAATGTAGTAAATATAATGTAACGTAATGTAAATTTTATCAATAAGACTGACAAAATCCATTGGCACTACTGGAATCGGCTTACTGCTGCGTGAGCAGACGTCATGCATTCTTAAATGTTCTACAGTCGGTGGCGCTGTGGACTGGGTCGCTCCGTTCCCTACGAAATGGTTGATCGGATCGATTGCTGGCCCTCACGTCATGCTCGTGAACGGGCGCCTTCTGCTGGAGCAGGTCGGCTCGCTCATCGCGCGTGTGGGCCGATCCAGTAAGGTTAATGTAAATGTAATAAAACATGTATTGTGTATATATAAATATTAGATTTAGACACAACCTTCTTTGTGAAAAAAAAAAAATGTGGTTAATGTAGCACGTAAGATTTTTGTAACAAGTAATTTTGACTGTAAATTAAAAGAAAATGTAATGGAATGACAAGGGCACGGACAAGAGTCCGTGGAGAATAAGAAATGTAAGATTAAAAAAAAAAAAAAACATTACTCAAAAGTTGGTATCATAAAATTCGTAAACAGAACTCGAAAACGCAAGTCATCGGATGGCCAACAGCGCAATTACTTCATAAAAAATAATATTCAAGGCTTATTATGTGTGCGCTTTAAATTAATGTACATATGATTGAATGATCATTCTCGATTGATACATATTCTACGTATGGAGTTTATCTAAAGGTCAACCTACGTTAACTAATGCTGACAGCTCATTGATGTTACGCAAGTGCTACATACATGTATATGTGCAGTGAAAGGAGCTGCTATTAGGGCACGGGTCGACAACCTCATTATCACGCTTTAGCTCAAAATCCATGTACGGATCTCGATTTAAGTACTTCAATTAACTTGTTAGAACTTGGAAGCTGCGATCGATATAATTAAGATGTTTCGTAAGGTCTAAGCACATACGAACTAACTCACGGCAATTATTAAGATAAGTACCTACCCAGTGTCAATATTTCAGGATTTACCCTTACATGTAAAAAATAATCTGCTCTTGGACTCTATTTTAGTCTAGATTATGAAAATTAATAAGGCTCCCATATACTTATCATTCTATCAATGTGTGAGTAGTGTCTAGTCTAGAAAGTAGTAGTAGTAGGAGTAGAAATGAAATAATGTATATCTAACACGCTTTTATTTACCCCTTCGTTGTCAAACAAAATAAATTATAAATCGAAAATAACAAAGACGCCATTTTGAATAGGTACTTACAAAACCACTTCAATTAATACTTACGTGAAATACACCCTTCCATGTGCATCAGGGGGTGCTCTCCATAGCAAAGTAGCCCTCGTCTTGAACTCAGGGTCACCGTGTGTGATGGACGAACATTCTGGATGTATGGTCGTGTTCGGAGCCGGTTCCCACGCCCCTATCCAGTTATCGTGCTCCACTGAACGCGCTTGAATGAAGAATCCTTTGAATGGTTCTGATCCTTCTATTGTCACTGTAAAGTTTTGTTTCGTGTAGTGAGCTTTTTTGTTATTAAGAATAAGAATAATGTTTATTTCAGAAAGTAGTACGTTTTTGTTGTCTCCTCTTGTAAGTTGTGAAAGATTCGTAGACTAATCAATATTTACAAGTTAAAATTAACTTTATGTTGCAGTTATAATTACATTTAGGTACCTAACTATCTAATTACTACGAAAACTTAGTTTTGTAAAGTTGCTATGTTTGGAATGTCTAATTCACAAGACCTGAATTTCATGAATCAATAGGTAAGTCTACTTTGTCGTATATTTCTTTGTCGTGCTACTATTTTTATTTTTCAGAGGCGAAAGAATTATTTCTGTTTATTTGTGAGTAACTTTAATTAAACGGCAGGTAAACGTTTAATTACTTTTGTCACGAGTCTTAATATAATAATTCTAACTATGCCTATGACTGCCTCGTTGGCCGAATGGTCGCAATTACGACTGACCGGGCAAGGGGTCTCGGGTTCGTTTCCCGGATGGGGAAAGTATTACTGGGCTTTTAAAAAAAAATCTCAGTAGTAGCACGGAGTCTGGAATTGTGCCCGGTATATGGCAATAGGCCCCTATTACATGGGACTCGATAACATAAAATATTGAAAAGTGGGTGTTACATTGTACAGTGGCATTAATTGCCGTAACGTACACCTGTGCCTACCCCTTCGGGGATAAAAGGCGTGATGTTATGTTATGTTATGTACTTGTAATAATTTTTCGTTTAACGCTCGCTAAATCACAAAACAATCCATAAGAATCCAAATAATCCAAACAATTTGGTATGCAAGTAAGAAAATAAATATTGCCTCAATAAAGGACAGTAAATTGACTACAGATTAGACTGTGCTGTGTAATGCTACTTATACACTCTCGCGCGAGTGGACACGAGGTTGAGGTACACTGCAGTCTTATAATGCAAGAAAGACTACAACTCTTAGAATAACGACAATGTATCTCGGCCTCGCCTCGACTCGCGCGAAAGTGTAAGTAAATGTAGCATGAAAGTTTATTTTTTAGGTAAATGTTTGTCCGTCAATCACGCTGAAACTACTGAACGGATTTTGATGAAATTTAGTACCTATACAACCAAGGTATGGGGCTGACTTTGGTGATTTGATAGGATTTATCCCAATTAAATGCTCTCATGGGATAAAACAGGAATCATATTCTACGCGGACAAAGTCGCGAGCATCAGCTAGTAAAATATAATGGCATTATTTAAAGCATGATTTAGCTATTATAAAAAAAAATGCCTCTGTTTCTGATTCAAACTTGACTGCATACTAAATTACTTGGTATACTCTACCTAGAACTCCACGACCATAAAAATTGAAAGCACCACAGAAAACTGCTACACAAATAATAGTTTAAAGTACCTATTCGAAACGAGTACGCGTTCGGTACTCCGATTGGCCGGCGTCAATGAAGCAACCAATCACAGCGCCGAACGCGTACTCGTTACGATTACTTTTAAACGTAAAACAAAATTGTACTAAGGCCTCTGTTAATTTCTTTTTGACTGCACGGTTGGTGCGGTGGCTGGGCAACCGGCTGCCGTGCAGCGTGTCACGGGTTCGATTCCCGCACGGAACAATACACAAATTGTTGTTTCTGGTCTGGGTGTCATTGTGTATGTGAACTTGTATGTTTGTAAACGCACCCACCACACAGGAGAAAATCTTATGTGGGGCAACGTTTTTTAAAAAACAAAAGAAATATTGTGTGTAGATTAGACCGTTAAGGTCTCCTTCCAAATGTATTACTTACTTACGTACTTCAATATAAATTCTCAAGGATCTATTTAGTCACCCTTACCCCAATTCGTTTGGGAATGAACCGGTTGAACCGCCATAGGCTGTTTGACCTACAATACCATATTCAGAATGTGTTGTGTAATCGGACGTGTGTTACGTACTCACTGTCTACCGGTAGATTTTATCAATGAACGTAACTATTACTACAAAAGTAGCTTTATCTTATAACCTTTGTTGGATATATCCGTTTTAGTAGGTAGGTACTTAGTTTATTGAATGTAACGTTTGCATAATTTGGAGGTTAGCATGAATTTAATTTGTATACATCGTTTTTAAGTACGTTAGTCTGTTATTGCGAAAGCTAGCTCCTTTCAATAATCGTTGATGAAATGATGAATGAATGACATGTTTCGACTTTCATCTAGTAAGTAGGTAAGTACCAAATAGAATGTTATCGATGCTTCTAGATTGATTTTTGATTCGGTTTTGATATTTTGATGATATTACAATCGAGACGTTTAATTCTAAATGATTAATGATCTTTCAAAACTGAAATACCTACCGAGATAAATCGATGTTTGCGAGAATAATGACTAAAATCTATACTTTAATGAATTATAGAAAAAAATACGACTATTTCATTTTTTTATCCATACGTAACTACTTACAATGTTTCCGATGATAATAATTATTAAGTACCTACAGCATCGACTTGATTAAGGAGCTTAGTAACATAATGTAAACAACTTAAAAATAAAAAAGAAATCCTATTTATTTAACTTCGCCAATAGACTTCGGGAGATAGATACCTCAGTAAAAACATGTAAAGAAGCTTAGACGTCATAGGTGTATTAAATTATTCTTTAAAAGTAAAAAATAATAGACAAAAACTATTCATACTTAATATCGGTACATGTAAATAATCTTCATAAAAACAATTTACGTATATCGAGACAATGGTGGGAATTATTTACGTTACCTGTGACCGGAGTATTTGGGCCGTAAACCAGCGCCGATGCGAGCACCCTGTACGGTAGACTGGACAAGGGTTGAGTCCTATGTTGTCCGTGATTAGGCTGATTAGCACGGTTCTTTACACAAGTGTCGATCGGAGCCCCGTCAGGGAAACTCGACACACCCCAACACAAAATTAGCCCTAACAATAACTTCGTAAACATTATATTTGATTAACCAACTTAAGTAGTGAAGTTACTGGCTTATGGTCAGTTAGTAAGTGGTAATTGAAAGGTAACAACTGCACACCTCGCGTTCGACTGTGCATGAGTAAGTTGCCGCACTCGGTTTTGTAAGCCGAGTTCGAAAGGATCTAGATCTTTGTACAACTTTGATACATCAATTAATGTTTACTGGTAAGATGTTTGGGAGTGCCGAAATCGTATCGTTACTCATATATTGCGTAGGTATATCTGTATATATGTCTTAGATCACGTGCATTTGAATGAAAATAAAAGTCGAGTTTCTGATGCATAATGTTTATTCATATATTTTTTATAGTAAGATAATAATAGTAATTAGTTAGACGTTTTACAGTTTTGTTTAAGAGTGGATAGTTAAGGACATAAAACTGAATAAAATTAACATCAATCAGTTCTTACATACAAATGAAGTGTGTTTCGCTAGTGTTCGGTACCTTAGTAATAGCTTATTTACCTACTAGAATAATAAAATAGTAAATTAAAATGGAATGTGCTTAGTACCTAATTTAAAGCGATTAATTTAAAATACATAAAAGAATTGTGTTGATTTCAGGAAATACTGATAGTGTTATCTTGGACATTTACTATCATCTACCGCTGCAGATATGAAAACAAAAAGGATTTCGTGATATCTAATGTTAACAAGTTGTAATTAAGTGATTTATTCATCTAGAAATACAATTCTATCTCCGCCGCGACGGTTCGGTGCAAGACAATTGGGGTCTAATGTGACTTTATTATTAGTGTTAGTATTGTGATTGTCCGTGGTTTCTATGTATTGCATGATCTCCTCGAACATGTTCTCGCAGTCGTCGTAGTCGCCGTCGTCGACCGGCTTCGCGACGCCGGCGCTGGCGACGGGCTCTCTCTCACGGCCGATCTCTTTCTTAACATCTTCGCTAGATGGCTGCGATTGTGCAGCCGCATACTCCATACAATTCCAATTCGCAATTATTTGATCCGAATTCTTTTCGCGAACCTCACAAATGCCTCGAAGTTTGGAATGATTTGGGAATTTCTTTTCCAAATATTTTGTTTCGTAATCGTTTAAGGAGTTGTTGTAAACGCTACTGGAAGGTGATGAGACGCAGCGGATCCAGTCTTGGCAATCGATGGAGACGCTCGATGCGTTCGTGAAACCATAATAATCTTCTACTTTAAAATCCCTATTGGCTATGAAGCCCGAGTCGTTGTCCAGGTCTGATCTGTCTAGTGAATCGTACCCTTCGTTGGTGACTCCATTTTGTATAGTTTCGTACACTGGTTCTAAGATCTCAGCGAGCCGTTCACTGGCTTGTATCGATATTATTTCAGCGACGTGTAACTTAGGCCTTATGGTCGCGTATTGGTCTTTCGATTCTTCTGCTGCGTTAGACGGTATACCAGTACTGCAGGTAATCCTCCTGTCCGAACTTTGACTCATACGTGGTAAGGAGGAATCTCTTCGTATTCGGGAAACGACGGCACTTTCAGTCTTTCTGTATGTCGCCTTTATTAATCCACGGACCTAGAGAAAAAGATTAGGGTCTCAAAATAGGCATTATCATCGGTTATCGTTTACGAACAAAGAACTTTAGATCGAAAAACATTATAGATTAGGTAGGTTTATCTAGAATGGGACTTTTTTAAACAACAAAACATTGTCTGAAATTAGTAAGAGACACATTAAAATCTCACCTCAGTATTAATGTAGCAATAAATCATAGCGACGATGAAGCCCTGCAGCCCCTCAAGAGTATAAGACACGTAGTAATAGATTTGTTCCTCGATGCAGTTGGAAGTGCTCGGTCTGAAGGCAGTCAGTAAGAACTGCGTGCCGAACAATGGCATCAGGAATAAGGTCGCTTTTGCTGTGCTCCTGTAAAATGAAGGGAGTTGAATAATTTGCTTGGAAGTAAACTAAATGACATTTTGTTAATGCTCTCTGTAGATAAATTTAGGGGAGGACCTTGACTTAGGAAGAATTAGTGAACTGGACACATATATTAATAAGTTCTAACGGCTCTCATTGGAAGAGACCTATTTTCAGCCGTGGATATCTAGATCATCTAGTAGGTACCTACACATACGGCATTCCTATCTACATTCATAAATACACTACGTCTCCTTAAACTAAACGGAACTGTTAAATCTGTGTTGATTTTGGTCAAAAAAAGCTCTACTAGTTTCGAGAGGAAGAGCCCCCGGTTCTTCCTCATGTTATGACCAGCATGCGCAGTCACAGAGTAGAGCTTTTCTCTGTATATTCACGTGAGTACCTAACCCGCGATTTTTAACCCCCTATCTCGCGATAGTTAGTAGGTATACCTATAAAAATATCGTCGCAACTTTTTGTCCAATTCATCGGATATCGGATCTTTGCCATTCTCTAAATTGAGCCTCATTACAGTGTCCATAAGGTGTAATTTTAAGTGGTTAACTTCAGTCAATATCTTTTGTAATACGGGCAGATCAACATTCGGTGCAATTTTAACATTTTCGAAGTAAGTAGGACATTAAATTGAAGACTATCTACATCTTGCACAATATGTAGAACTATATTTTATGCAAGTTTGCTCTAATAACTATAGTCAAACTACTATTATTATTTGAAATATTAATACGAACTTGTATAAATATTTAAGTACCTGAATGACCTCGCTTGTTTTGATGCATTTTATGGCACTGGATTCTTCTTGACTAATATTACAATTACATAACATCCTTGCCATCCAAGCCTTGTATCCCCGAAGGGGTAGGCTGAGGTGCACATTACGGCACTTTTTGCCACTGTACAATGTAACACCCACTTTTCACTATTTCACCATATACCGGGCACAATTCCAGGTTCTGAGATTTGTTTTTAAAAACTCAGTACCTAATACTTTGAACGATCCGGGAAACGAACCCGAGACCCCTTGCCCGGTACTTGCGACCACTCGGCCAATGAGGCAGTAATATTACAATAAGTCTTTTGATTACTAAAAAACGTGTTAATTCATGTTTTATGATGACTTATGTCTAAAATTTCTTCAATGTGATTCACAACTGGATTATCTAAGTATAATCGAGACCTAAAAACCTAATTTCTGTACCTAATCTTAAGCTGGTATTGAATAATTTTGACTCTGTTTTGGACAAGGTCGATATTCATACAAATTATTATCAACCACTACGTAGCGTACAGAACTATCTTACTAGTAAGAAATTATTACAAGTACATAACATCAAGCCTTTTATCCCCGAAGGGGTAGACAGAGGTGCACATTACGGCACTTAATGCCAATGTACAATG